AAAGGAAAGCTTTTTAAAGAACGTTCAATATAGTATTTCTCTCCCATTTGGTATCACAATTGGTGCCACATTAGAATAATGGCAGTGTCAGATAAGCTAATTATTACATCAGGTTAATAAATACTGTGAAGCACCTGAAGGAACACAAAACCCAACACTTAAAAAGCAGTAACCAACTCAACAGAAGTAAACAAAAATACAGCATTATGTATTTTCCTCTAAAGAATGTTTTCCTTAAGAAGTAAGATTACTTCATCTTTTTAAATAACTGCCATTTCTATATTCAACTGTCTTCCAGACTTGGAATACGAACATTTTAATTGTCCTGAGCAGATCCATTTATACAGGGGAAGCTGAAGTCAAAATCTCTACTACTTGCACTTTGGAAAACTTAGTATCAGTTTTGAGGGAGCAAAGAAACCCTCCACAGTTTACAGTACTTCACCTCACTCAGCTCCTGAAAGGCACGAGAACCGAGACTCATGTCCCATCCCCTGCAGTGGAACATTCAGTGGAAAGCCCACCCACCCACAGTAAACAAGCAGTCGTGACTGTAGCGTCAAAATCATGCTACTGTTCAGCATATATCTGCTTTTAGGCAGTCTGTTGCATTTTACTTTTTCCCCCTGCTGATCAATGCAGTTTGAAGAAGACTGAAGCCACACACCTCCAAACCACAAAGGGGCTATTACAATCCCTTCTAATGTGTGCCGTTTTTTAAAACATTAGTCTCTCTAGCTTTTACAAGACATTCTTAATTGAAATTTAGTTCTAGGGGGAAGAACTGGAGTTACACTAAGCACTTCCATCCATCTTGCCCAGATGAAAGCCATAAAAAAAATATGGTGGGGCTTATAACTAACAAAACAAGGAGCCATACTTCAGATCAGAGTGAGGAAGACACTTCTATGGAAACTGGTGTTTTCTAATCTGAGCATATAAAGATGCTCAGGTGCAGAAACCTTGCATACAAGCTATATCAAAACTTTAAAACATAGTGTCATGATTCAAGAGAAATGCTGCTGAACACCAATTGTTCACCATTAACTACTTTAAGTCAGACTAAGTTGCAAGTCTGGGCAACAGCAGATTCAATAGCTTCAGTGATTATGCAGCCCAAAGTCTTCCTGTTTTACAGACTGGTGTAGTGTACTAGGAATCTAAAATGAAAGTTCAACTTGACACTGAACTAACATTGAGGCAGCTAGTCAGTTCAGAAGCTTTTTTTTTTTTTTACAGAAAGCCAAATCAACATTTTATCTATTACTATGTAGTTGTTGTGGACTACTAAGTGAAGAGGAAAGGGAGACAGAGAAAGAAACTGATGTTAGAAGTTTGTCAGGTTACTTTCATAGTTAAGTCTGCCAAAGTCACAAAAGCTCAAAGTCCATCAAAATACAATAGAGTAAAAACAACATGGTCAATTTAGAACCACTGCTGGTGACAGTCCTTAACTCTCAGAATGTAAGTTATCTTAAAGAGGAAAAAACCTGTTAAAATGCTGCAATTATTTCAGTAAAGACATGAAACTCATACACCATGAGATCACCCCATTTAATCTCCAAATCATATTATTCTTCATATCCTGCTACCATTTTGAAAGGAAAGACTAAGCCTTTATGCCTGAACCTTAAACTGATGCTTCAGGCAGTGCCCTATGAAAAGCTAATAATGACCCTAAAGTCAAGCTCTATATGCATAAAGTAGCAACAGCATTGAGTTTTATGCCTAACCTGTGAATAACAGTTTTGAAGAAATGTCAGGCATTCATGCAAAACAGATATCATTACTTATTCTGAGTAGCAGAGAGAAGCCTTACAAATTATCTTATTTCATAAATTATGAGAACTACCCCAAAATGGATAAAGGTATGTGTCATATGATGAGTTATCACCTCTCCATTTCAGAGAGGTGACAATTACTGCCCAAGTGACCTACGAATGGCAATTTCAGTTGAAGAGACTATAGCCAAAATAACACGTTCTTGCCAGCAAAGCCAGCTTGCAAGTCAGGAAGTATAGATGACACCACAACCACCACAGGAAGGTGTTAGGCTAAGGCTCATCAGCCCATCAATCATGAATGCCTAAAGGTTGCTGGCAAATGGATTTCTAGAAATTCCTAAAAAAAAAAGCTAAGATCACAGCTTCAAGTGGTAATCTCTCACTAAGGATTCACATATCTCAGGCAGATAGGGCAAAGAACCAGTACCTAAAACTGATACTGCACATAGCAGCTTCTGCTTGAGGTTTTATAACAAGCCAGGTAGTACTTAAAGTCCATTTAAGAGCTGCAACTATCCTCAAGGAATTTTGATTACTCAAGCTGTAACTGCTTTCTAATTTGGAGTATTCAATCTGCAAGCTTCCTTCCTTCCTCCAAGCTTACTTCCTTCTTGGAAATATTTATAAGACTCAAAAAACCCCAAACACCTCCAAGAGAATCACTTGAAAATCTTACATAACGCTGTATGCACAAATATTCTGAAATTGATTTTCTTATTTAAAATACCTATACACAAAGGATATCTCTATCCCTTTCACCAAATAGTGAAGTCAT